CCATGCAATGCCGTGCAGTGCCGTGCCATGCCGTGCATGCTGTGCCTTGCCATGCCATGCCGTGCAGTGCCGTGCCATGCCGTGCACGCTGTGCCATGCCATGCCATGCCGTGCAGTGCCATGCCGTGCCATGCCGTGCAGTGCCGTGCCATGCCGTGCAGTGCCATGTCGTGCTGTGCACGCTGTGCCATACCATGCAATGCCGTGCAGTGCCGTGCCATGCTGTGCGCGCTGTGCCACCTTCCCTCTGCTCCGCGCGGCGCTGCGGCTGCAGGAGCGCTGCAGGCTGGTGCAGCGCTGCAGGCTGGTGCGCAGTCGGGGGTCCCCGGGCACCGTTCCGGCGCTGACCCCCTGCCCGCCCCCAGGTGCTCTCGCTCGGCGCCGACGTCCTGCCCGAGTACAAGCTGCAGGCGCCGCGCATCCACAAATGGACCATCCTGCACTACAGCCCCTTCAAGGCCGTGTGGGACTGGCTCATCCTGCTGCTCGTCATCTACACGGCCATCTTCACGCCCTACTCGGCCGCCTTCCTGCTCAACGACCAGGAGGAGGCGCAGCGCCGCAACTGCGGCTACTCCTGCAGCCCGCTCAACGTGGTGGACCTCATCGTGGACATCATGTTCATCATCGACATCCTCATCAACTTCCGCACCACCTACGTCAACTCCAACGAGGAGGTGGTGAGCCACCCCGCCAAGATCGCCATCCACTACTTCAAGGGCTGGTTCCTCATCGACATGGTGGCCGCCATCCCCTTCGACCTGCTCATCTTCGGCTCCGGCTCTGAGGAGGTACCGGCACGGAGCCGCGTGCCCCGCAGCGCGGCGGGGACGGGGACGGGGACGGGGACAGGGACGCCCCTTTGTGTGGGGCGCTGCTGGCTCCCCCCAACGCTGCTTGCTGCATGGCCCCCTTCTTGCACTGTGCACCCCAGCTTGCCCCATGTCCCCCAGCTTGCCCCATGTCCCCCAGCTTGCTCCACATTCCCCCATGACCCCGTGTTGTCCCCTGTCCCCATGTTGCTGCACGTCCCCAGGTTCCTCCATGTCCCCCAGCTTGCTCCATGTTCCCCCACGTCCCTGGAATTGCTCCCTGTCCCCCGGTTACTTCATGTCCCCAGGTTTTTCTGCGTCCCCAGGATGCTCCATGTCTCCAAGATTCTCCCTGTCCCCCCGGTTGTTCTGTATCCCCAAGCTGCTCCCTGCCTCTCCATGTTACTGCATGTCCCCCAGGTTCCTCCATGTCCCCCAGCTTGCTCCACATTCCCCCATGTCCCCCAGGTTGCTCCATGTCCCCAGGTTGTTCTGTGTCCCCCTGGTTGTTCTGTATCCCCAGGTTTCTCTCTGTCCCTACGTTGCTGCATGTCTCCAGGTTCCTCCCTGTCCTCCAGCTTGCTCCATATCCCCCTCGTTGTTCCGTATCCCCAGCTTTCTCCCTGTCCCCACRTTGCTCCATGTGSCCCCGGTTGCCCCATGTCCCCCCGGTTGCTCCATGTCCCCCAGGTTGCTTCATGTCCCCAGGTTGTTCTGTGTCCCCAGGTTGCTCCATGTCCCTCTAGTTGTTCCGTATCCCCAGCTTTCTCCCCATCCCCACGCTGCTCCATGTCCCCCCGGTTGCCCCATGTCCCCCCGGATGCCCCGTGCGCCCTCCCGGCGCCGGGGGCTGCTCTGCAGGTGCCCGGCGCCCGCAGGACCCACGTCCCGCCGGGGCGGCTGCAGGGGAGGGCTGCGGTGCCGGCGCGGGCGCCGAGCGCAGCTGCGGGCGAATGTGGGTCTGGCCCCGCGAGGGCCGAGCCGGGTGCAGGGCTGCCCGCGTGGCCCCGGGCGCTGCAGGGTTGCCCTGGGGGGCGGCGCCGCGGTGCTGACC